AAATCAATGTATAAAATATTATTTGCTTACCTATGAAATGCTAATTCACTTCTTACATATAAAGATATTTTTTCAAGTGGTGATAATGTTTCATCTATCAGAAGTTCTTCTTCCATGTCGTCTTCTATAAGCAAATCCAAAAAAAAGAATTTACGTCTTTTCTCAGCCTCTCACATTCCCCTTTTGATAATTCCCTCCTTGACATTTTATAGACCAGCAGCACCTAGTTAATATAAAATATACACGTGTACATACCAAATGAGCTTTCTGATAAACTAGTCAATAATAACTCTTCAGAAATCAATTCAGTGTCTACTTCAAGTTCTTCTGCTTCTTGAAAAGTATTGGGTTCTTCTTGGTTTTCTGAAATAAGTTCTGTTGTAACATAAGACATAATTTTAATATTAATTATAGCGTTCTAACGGTCTTACTTGTTATTGAACTAAAAAAGTAAGGTGAGAGGTACTTAATAAACACTCATACCCGCCATAGGTAAAAAAAATAACTATTAGTTTAATTGATAGTTTTTTTAGGTATATTTTTTGGTCTAGTGTATGATTTTAGATGGCAGATGATAAACACCAAAAATTTTTTAATTCGTGATCCGCGATAGAAGTAGTAGACAACACAATCAGTAAATTTTGGGGGATCGTCACTATCAAAGTGGTTACTTCCAAATTTTTTTTACCAACACACATGATTAGTATTACACAGAATATTAAATCATATGATCTCAAATACTTATCTCATTGTTTCACGGATTTTATATAAAAATAAAATTTATTATTTTTATTAAAACAACAGTCCATGAATGAAGTGAAGCAAGACTATTTATTTATGCTAATGTATACATGTAAGTTTTTTAAATAATATGAATATTTACCATGAGAAATTATTTTTATTATTGAATATAAATATAAAATAGTCTATGTTGTCAATTTTTATCTTATGACTGTTAATGTTCAAGAAAGGCTATTAAGAAAATTATACTTTTAAATTCAACGAAGTGTTCAAGGAAGACTATAACTAAAACTATACTTTTAGAATCAATGAAGTGCTCAAGGAAGGCTATGACGAAAAATATACCCTTAGAATCAAAGAAGCGTTAAAGAAAGGTTATGACGAAAAATATACCCTTAGAATCAAAGAAGTGTTAAAGAAAGGTTATGACAAAAAATAGATTGAAGAAATTATAACATTCAAAAATTCAAAATTTGACCCTTTTATACAGAAGAATTGATCAGACACCCTGACATGGAAAAAGTACTATTATCTTTAACATTACTTTTTTCTAACATTTTATCAGATATATCTTTTTTCATTGCAGATGAATATCTGGATATCCAATTTCGAATGGTTTCTACTTTTGGAATTTGTTCAAGTGT